GAGGAGCTCTGATGGCCTAGAGGTAAGAAGCTGCACTACAATCCCAAAGCCACAAAGTTCAAATCCACCAGCTGCTCCACAGAAGAACGATAGGCTATTTCTTCATGTGTGATTTATTGCTTCTGAGAACCTACTGGAGGGTCAGCTCTGGGTGGGTTCCAAGTCAAAGGCACCTGACAATAATAGTATCCATAGAAGTTCTGGTAGCCTAATGTTAAGAAGCTGCACGGCAAATAAAAGGTATGCAGTTCAAATGTACCAGCTGCTTCAAAAACAATGCAGTTTACTCCTCCTGTGCAATTTACTGCCTCTGAAAACCTGCAGGAGGGTCATCTATGAATCAATTCTAGCTCAAACATAAAACGAATCTCCATATTGTGACACTGATAATATTTTGAAATAGGAAAATAATCAGAGTTCAGCATCAGTTAATTAGATGTTACCAGGGGTAGCAGGAGGGAACGGGGAAGGAGAAGGCATTATTAAGGGCATACTCAGCTTCTCTAAAGATGACGGAAAAACTTAGAAACAATTAATGATGATATTTGAGCAACACAACAAATATAATTCAAGTCACTGGATTGTCCACGCAAGGAATGTGGAAATAGCAAATGTTTTGTTATATTTATATTTATAAGTGAAAGCAAAGTTGACTTCCTAATGGGGAGCTTACCTCAGAAAGAACAAGAAGCAGATTCTTAAACGAAGTGTGCGTGACCGGAATATAGAAAAAAATGATGTTTTGATCTGGGCTGCATCCAGTTCTTCCTGCATGGTGGATTTCACAAACTTCAACAACAAAAACATTAACAAACATTTGTGAGATTTCAGTAAAGTGCCAGTCATAGCGTGAAGTACTGTATGATAAGGTAGACACATTTCCTTTTCTTAGTGGAAAATACAGGTATTAAACAATTTATCCTACACCTGATGATTAGTTATGCAGAAAGAGATAGCCCATAATTCTCCCACCCTACATGTGGAAAGATACAGAAAGAATATAAGCCTCCTTTTGTGGGAGTAGGTTGTTGGCCCTTTTGATTCATAGCCTTTCTTTTTAGAAAGAATAAGTGTGCCTCTGGAAACTGTGAACTTTGATAAATGGCTATGGTTGTGGAAGGGCTGCAGGCCTTTTGTTCATGGGGTTGCTTTGAGTCGTGCTCAACTCGATGGCAATCATCGTCAACATCAACAAGCCTGTGAGAGAAGCTTGGCTTAAGAAGATGCCTCCTCCTGATGTTAAAATCCCACTTGCGTAAGTACTAGCTTTTATGCCACATTTACTTCAGTCAGGAGTCGCAGGCACTTGTTCCCAAGTAACAGTATCTCTCTGGGAATGTTGATTTATTTAAAATTTTCCTCTCAAAACTTTCCGTTAAATCCTTATTTTTAAAACCTTTGAATTCTCCTTTATTACTAGGTTCTTCCAGAAGACAGCAAAGGAATCTGGTAGTGCAGTGATTAAGCCCTGGACTGCTAACTGAAAGGTCAGTTGTTCAAATCCACAATGGAGAAAGCTGTGGCCAGCTATGGCCATCAAAGCTGCAGCTTTGGAATCCATGCAGGACAGTTCTAGCTTGTCTTGTAGGGTTGTTACTATAAAGTATGTTGTTGTGGTTGTGTACTGTCAAGTTGGAACTGACCCGTAGCTGACCCTCCAGTGGGTTTTCAGAGGCAGTTAATCGGCCGGGAGGAGACTGCCCATCCTTCTCCCACGGAGCAGCTGGTGGCCTTGAACCACATATCTGTGTTTTTGTTGAGTTTCCTTTTTTGTCTTTCATTACTCAGTGGTGTACTGAACTCTCATTATGAAAGTGTCCTTTTCCCCTTAAGATATGTTAACGTTTTATTCATGTATCTTGCTCATCTGCCAATGGGTGCATAGATATTATTTATAGTTACGTCCTCTTGTTCTGGTAACCCTTTCTTTGAGCAATACATAACACCTTTCCTTGTTTCTTATGCCAGCTTTTCCTTCAAGTGTATTTTATCTGAGATTAATGATAATACTTTTGTCCTTTTTTTTTTTACTGTCTTTTCCATGATTGTTTGCTTGATCTCTATTTCTCAACTTTTTTTTTTTTTGGTGAGAAAAATTTATAATTAGCCTGCTGGACTCAGTTTAGATGATCCCAATTTTGTTGGCAACATCCAAAGCATCATAATCAGGAGCAAGTTGAACATAGGCCTTCTTCTCTCCATCAGGCTTAATCAAAGTGTTGACCTTAGCCACATCAATGTCATAGAGCTTCTTTACAGCTTGTTTAATTTGGTGCTTGTTGGCCTTGACATCCACAATGAACACAAGTGCGTTGTTATCTTCTTTCTTCTTCATAGCTGACTCAGTGGTTAGGGGAAATGTGATGATGGCATAGTGGTCAAGCTTGTTTCTCGTGGGGGAACTCTTCTGGGGGTATTTGGGCTGCCGTCGGAGTCTCAGCGTCTTAGGCCGCCGGAAGGTGGGTGACGTGCGGATCTTCTTTTTTTTTGGCTGTGGATGCCCTTCAGGATGCCTTCTTGGCCTTTAATGCCTTTGCTTTGGCTTCAGTTTTGGGAAGTGCAGGGGCTTCCTTCTTCGCTTTTGGTGCCATCTTTGAAAAAGCTATTTCTGAACTTTTAATTTTTAGCCTGTCTTTGACTTCATGTGTAAGTGTGTCTCTTGTGGAAAGAATATTAATGGATCATGTTTTCTTTTGCACTGTGCTACCTTTCCAGCTTAACGATGCACAGCCAGTGCAATTATTGATGGATAGAGTTTTATTGTTGCCATTTTGTGGCACTATTTTTTTTTCCACATTGCTGATTTCTTTGTTTCATCTTTTCTGTACTCAGTTAATTTTGTTTAAAATTTTAAAAATAATTTTCTTCATTGCTGTTGTTTGAGTGTTTTCTAAGGGTCTGATTTTCTCCTTTTTTTGTTGTTTGTTTGGTTGGTTTTTTTCATACAAGGCTTACTAAGATGTGTCCTATCTCCATATCTTTTCAATCTATATGTGGAACAGATTATCCAGGAGGCTGGGCTCTATGAGGAGAAGTGTGGCATCGGGATTGGAGGTAGACTTATCAACAATCTGCATTATGCAGATCACACAACCTGCTTGCTGAAACTGAGGAGGACCTGAAGTGTTTGCTGTAGAAGGTCAAGGACTGCAGCCTTCAATATGGATTGAAGCTCAACATCAAGAAAACAAAGATTCTCACCACTGGGCCGATTGGTAGCATCATGAAAGATGGTGACGAGATTGAAATTGTTAACAGCTTCAGTTTGCTTGGCTCTACAACTAACACTCTTGGTACCAGCAGCCAGGAAATTAAAAGATAAATTGCATTGGGGAAGTCTGTTGTCAGAGACCTCTTCAAAGTACTAAAAAGCAACAATGTCAATCTGGAGACTAAGGTGTGCCTGATATAGGCCATGGTCTTTGCAATTACTTGCTATGCATCAGAGAGCTGGACAACGACCAGGGATGATAGAGAGTTGATGCCTTTAAGCTGTGGTGCTGGAGAAGACTGTTGAATATTTCATGGACTGCTAGGAGAACAAACAAGTTTGTCTTGGAGAGGGTGAAGCCAGGCTGCTCCTTGGAGGCAAGGATTCTGAAGCTTCATCTGACACATTTTGGACATGTTGCCAAGCAGGATCAGTCACTGGAGAAGGACAACATACTTGGGAGGGTGGAGGGATAGCACAGAAGAGGAAGACCCTCAATGAAATGAATTGATTCAGTCACTGGGGTAATGGAGATATTGTCAAAGACAGTAAGATTGGTAAGGAATAGAGCAGGGTTTAGGGCTATTGTATATAGGGCTGCTATGAATTGCAGGTGACTCAATGGTACATAACAATAACAACAATAACAACAACCCTATATAAGTATCTATTTCATTTCAAACTGTAAAACAGTTCATTTTTCTTGACATCTTCTAGACTTTCTCTCCACTGAGAAGTTCTGTAACTACATTTCTTATTTCCTCTTTTTGCACTATTAATTTTAAAATATTATCTTGGCTTGACTTTTGGAGTGGCCTAAAGTTATCTGTTGCCTCTGAAGCACTGTAGTGCTTTTGTCTATGTATTGTTTTGTTTTGGATTATCTGATTAAGCTGTGCAAGTGTGATATGCTGTTTATCAATTGGGTAATTTTTAGTTTCATATCCTAACTTCTGGTAAGTTTATTCTTCTCTATGAATTGAAGTACTATTTATATACAGAAGGTCCTTAACTGTAAAGCTCCAGTGTCCACGGTGTTTTCTTAAAATGTAATTAATATATACTTAAATATTTATTTATAATTAAATTATGACTTTAAATGAAATAAAATATGTATTTCTAGAATCCATGAATAAATAAATGTGTGAAAGTACAAATCTTTTTTTTTTATGATGTTTCTTGTATGGTCACTCACTCATCCTTCCTTTTGGATGTTCTCTTATTTCTCCTAAAAGGATGTGTAGGGTAGTGAAATGACAAGAAATTAATTGTGTTTCTGTTACTTTCTCTTTGCAATTCTACGACATACCTAGGATAGTAACATTACCAACTTCTCCAGACTACTCAGTATACTTCAGATACAGGTGACTTGCAATATCTATGGCCAATTTCTTGACAGAAGGCAAGACACATATTTCAATGCCCCTGTTCCTATAGTAGTAACACTGATTGGGAATTAGGACAAAGATGTATTACAACACCATTCACAGAACTCCAGTCCTGGTCCTGGATTCACTCAGGGACCCAGATTACAACTTCATTGTATTTATCTTCGTCACCAGATTCCACTTCCAGATTACCGTTTCATTCAGGGTCTCGTCAATATTCTTTAGTCCATTTATGTGGGCAACTCTTTTCAGTAGCTTTAAGCCCTCTTCCAGTTTGTTGGTGACAATCAGCCATCGAGCAGACTCTATCAGCCACCTGGGCAAAGAAGAAGACACAGGTATAATGAAGTTTCTCCTTACTTTTTGCCACATAACCTTTTATCTGTGTGCATTTCCTTTTCTTCTAATAAACCAGTTCTTTGGTTTCACCCTGAATAGAAACTCATATTCTCATACTGCAAAAGAAAACACGGACCGTGCATGGGTATGATTGTTAACAGAGTTAGAAATTTCCTGCATTTTATTCTCAGATACATTTGTTGAGAAATTCGCATAGCTGGATTGGATAATTTGTATACTCTTTTGCTAAAGCTCTAGGAGATGCCCTAATAAATTGTATTAGTAATTTGCAATCATTAAGTTAAAGAAAGGAAACCAAATTAGGCAAATTTTGGCCCTTAAAACTGCAACTTGGATTCTACCAGCTATATTGAAAATAACATGAGTTAGTTAAACATCATCAAAATGAAGATTTCAAGATCTGTCCTGAAGCACAATGTTGGTAATGATAGGGTGATGCATGTGTTCACACACACATACACACACACACACACACAGAGTGCTTGTTAATAGGACTACTAATGAAATTTACAAGCCAACTATGAAAATCAAATACAAGAAAAAATGGAATATAAATAGCAATTTATATGTAGTGTTCCCTTACTTTGTTTGGACAACAACTTATAGATTTTGTATGTTGTTGTTGTTATTGCTGTTATGTGCTGTTGAGTCGTCTGCAATTCATAGTGACTCTATGTACAACAGATCTGAACCCTGCTCTTTCTCACTGACTCCGACAAACCTAATCCTACCACTGCAGTTATTGTGTCAATCCATCTCATCTGGGGTCTTCCTCTCCTTTGCTGTCCCTCCAACCCTTTTAAGCATGATGTTGTTCTCTAAGGACTGGTGCTTCTTGGCCATGTGCCCAAAGTATGTGAGATGGAGCTTCAAAATTCTTACCTCCAAGGAAGAAACTTGGTTTCACCCTCTCTAAGACAGAACTGTTTGTTCTCTTGGTGGTCCATGATGTTACGTTCAACATTCTTCTCCAGCACTACTACTGAAAGGCATCAATTCTTCTTCTGTCATCTTTAGTCATCGCCCAGTTCTCTGACTCATAGCATGTAATTGCAAAAAACATGTCCTAGATTGGATGCATCTTAGTCTCTAGACAGAAATCATCGTTCTTCAGCACTCTGGAGAGGTCCCTGACAGAAGACTTCTCCAATACAATTCTTCTTTTGATTTCCCGACTGCTTGTGCCAAGAGTGTTGATTGTGGACCTGAGCAATGTGAAATTGTTAACAACCTCAATTTCTTCTCCATCTATCATGGTGCTGCCAATTGGCACAGTGGTGTGAATCTTTGTCTTCTTGATGTCGAGCTTCAATCCATATTGAAGACTACAGTCCTTGACCTTTTGCAGCAAACACTTCTGGTTCACCTCAGTTTTGGCAAACAAGGTTGTAACCTCTGCATCACACAGGTTGTTGACAAGTCGTCCTCCAATCCTGATGCCACACTTGGACCAGAACAGAGCAAGGAAATATGCATGGTTCAAAATCAGGAAAGGAGTGTGTCAGAGATGCATCTTGTCTCCATACCTTTTCAATCTATATGCGGAACAGGTCATTCAAGAGGCAGGATTTTATGAGGAGGAGTGTGGACTTTATAGGATTTTGTATAATCATAGTTAAGTGTTCTGGCATTCCCATTCTTTTCAACATTAGCCATAGTGTTTTTATGATCCACATGATCCAATGCCTTTGCATAGTCAATAAAGCACAAATATATATCCTAATATGTTCTGCTTTCAGGTAATATTTATCTGACATCAGCAATGTTCTCTCTGGTGCCATGACCTCTTCTAAACCCAGCCTGAACGTCTGGCAGTTCTCCCTCAATGTACTGTTCTAGCCAGTTTTGGATGATCTTGAGCTATAATTTGGTTTCATGTAACATTAATGATATTGTTTGATAATTTCTACATTCTGTTGGATCATCTTTCTTGAGAATGAGAGCAAACGTGGATCTTTCTGGTTAATTGGTCAGATTGTTGTCTGCCAAATTTCTGGTACAGCTTGATGAGCATTTCCAGGGCTATCTCTGTTATTTGGAACATGTCAATTGGCATTCCACTGATTCCTGGGGGTTTATTCCTTTACAATACCTTCAATACAGTTTGAACTTATTGCCTTATCACCAGTAGCTTCCCCCCTCCTCCATATGCTACTTTCTGGATATTTCCATCTCGACCAATTCCTTTTTTTGTACAGTGACTCTGTGAATTCTATCCAGCTTATTTCATGCTTCCTGGATCATTCAAGATATCTCCTATAATGTCTCTCAGTATTACAACTCAAGGCTTGAGTTTGTTTTTTAAGTTAGCTCAGTTTGAGAAATCCTGAGTGACTTCTTCCTTTTTTGTTTTCCAACTTCAGCTATTAGTGCATTCCATTAAAATATTTTGTTTTGTCTTCTAGAGGTGCTCTTTGAAAGTCAGCTGTCAAAGTACTGAAGTACTGAAGAGCAACAACGTCAGGCTGGAGACTAAGGTGCACCTGATCCCGGTTATAGTCTTCCCAATTGTGAGCTATGCACCAGAGAGCTGGACAGTGACTTGGAATGATATAAAGAGAATTGATGCCTTTGAGCTGTGGTGCTGGAGAAGATTGTTGAATATACCATGGACTGCTAGGAGAACAAACAGGTTTGTCCTGGAGAGGGTGAAGCTGGGCTGCTCCTTGGAGACAAGGATTCTGAAGCTTCGTCTAACATACTTTGGGTATGTTGCAAGGAGAGACCAGTCCTTAGAGAGGGACATCATGTTTGGGAGGGTGGAGGGACAGTGCACGAGAGGAAGACCCTCAATGAGATGGGTTGATTCAGTGGTTGGGATAATGGAAGTAGGTGTGTTGGAGACAGTGAGGTTGGCACGATATAGAGCAGGGTTTAGGGCTCTTGTACACAGAGTCACTATGAGTTACAAGTGACTCAAAGGCACATAAAAAAAACAACAACACTATGAATTAATCATTGAATGTACAAAATGTCATCATTTGATCTCCAGCCTTCTTTCTCTCTCCAAGTCCAAAATTTCCAATTACCAAGTCTTCTGCTTTGTTTCCAACTTTTGTATTCCAGTCACCAATTATTATTAATGGATCTTGACTGCATGTTTGCTCAGTTCCAGAGAGCAAAAGTAGAATGGCTCAATTTCCTCATCTTTAGCTTTAGGTCTTGGTGCCTATATTTGAGTAACAGTTGTATTAACAGTTGTATTCCTTGTATGTGCATGAATAGTATCCTATCACTCACAGGACTGTATTTCAGAATAGAAATTGAAATTGTCTATTTTGCTATTAATATAACTAGGAGAACAAACAGGTTTGTCCTGGAAAGGGTGAAGCCAGAATGCTCCTTGGAGTCAAGGATTCTGAAGCTTCGTCTGACATACTTTGAGTATGTTGCAAGGAGGGACTGGTCCTTGGAGAGGGACATCATGTTTGGGAGAGTGGAGGGACGGTGCAGGAGAGGAAAACCCTCGATGAGATGAATCGATTCTGGGACTGGAGTGGTGGGAATGAGTGTGTTTGAGACGGCGAGGTTGGCACAGATTAGAGCGGCTTATAGGGCTCTCGTACATAGGGTCACTATGAGTCGCAAGCAACTCGATGACACATAACAGCAACATAACAACAACAACAACAACAATTACCCCTCAATTTTTCATTCCCACCACAATAGACCATTTGACTGTCTAATTCAAAGTGGCCAATGCCAGTCCATCTCAGCTCACTAATATCTAGAATTTGAACTTTATATATTTAATTTTCTTTTTGACAATGTCCAATTCTCCTAGAGTCATACTTTGTACATTCCATGTTCTAAATATTGATGAATGTTTATAGGGATTTTTTTCTCCTCAGTTTTTAATATCTTACACTGTAAGTGTTCTACTTCTAGTATGATTTTTAATAGTGTTCCTCTGAATCATTCATAGGGTTTTCAAAGGCCAGTTATTTCAGAAGTGGATGGCCAGTCCTTCTTCTTACTCTGTTTTAATCCAGAAATCTCCACTGAAACCTATTCACCATGAGTAACCCACTAGTATTAAAATACTGGTGGCATAGCTTCCAGTATCATAGTTGTGAGCAAGTTATCTCAGTACAATAAACTGACAGATAAGTACTATACTCATTAGGACAATTTATAAAAAAATAAAATGTATTCATACACAAATGACAAAGTAAGCTGCACCCCACAAGTCACTCTCTACAGCCCTCCCCACATCCCTCACAATATGGCAAACTAGCCACGCATCTGGGAGCTACTCCCTTACGAAGATGACACTCTGGCCACCCTGAACATGAGCCTGCTATGCACTTAGGTACTGCTCCCTAGAAAATATGTCACTCCAGCAAAACCAACAGCCAGCATCACTCTCAGTTTAGAGAGTCTAAATGCATTCCCCTTGCAGGTAAGGACCAGACAAGAATGAACATTATTACCAACAACAACAGTCACTATTGTGTTGGAAATACTAGCTAGTACAATAAGGCAAGAGAAAGAAATAAGAGGCATCCAAAATTGGCAAAGAGGAGGTAAATTTAGGGCTATGTGCAGAAAATAAGACAGCATTTTCAAAGAAATCCCAAGATTCAACAAGGAAACAACAACAACAAAAAACCAAAAACAACAACCTGGTTAGACCTAGCAGACCAATTTAATACAGTGGCAGGATATAAGATCAACATACAAAAATCAGTTCTATTTCTCTTTAATAACAAAGAAATATGGAAAAGGAAACTGGAAAAGCAATATAATTTATAATAGTCAAACACAAGATATAAAATATTTAGGAATAAACCTAACTAGAGACACAAAAAATGCTTTATTCTGTTGCTGCCACTCACTTGCCCTTAAAGAACTGTATATCAGTGATTCAGACCAGATGAGTTGTGTGATGACATTAAGAATATCATCTATAAAGAGAGCAAAAGGTCACCAAAAAGACAGAGGAGAAAGAAAAAA